GCAAACCAATCTCTGGTGTCAAAGAGAGTTGCTATGAACAGTTTAAAATCTAGAGGAGAAGAAGTCCATGCTAATCTTGTTATCAGCATCTTCACTTTGCCACAAGGGCAAATTACAGGTACTATTTCCTGTACCACTAACATAAAATGTTGGGCAAAAATGAATATATCTCATATTACGTCCACTTCTATTTAACATGTAACTTTATGCATGGTGACATGTAAATTACAGTGTTCAGTATATCTTTGAAAATCTAATTATAATATATGATGTTTTGGCCAAGGAATAAAAAGAATGATCTGTAGTTTTACTTGACATACTTAACCAAATTTCTACCCCAGGATGCATACTTAGAATGTAGTTATTTCTTGGTAGTCTAAATTTTTAATCATTTTCTTGGTTATAGTAAACCAGCTGTTAGCCAAGTTGTAAATGTGAAACTGTTTTTATGGAAACTCTTCTCTCTGAATCCTTTCCTAAGGATTTTGTTAATATACATTAAAACTAAGTTTAAATTTTGCTTTCTCAGGAAGTCTTCCTTGATCAACACTAACTAAATAAATCCTTCTCCATTATTCTTTTTCCCAGTGACATATTTATTTATTCTCTTCAGAGGACTTCATATTCTCAACTAACCTGAAATCCTAATTATAAGCCACATCATCTGGCCTTGGGTTACTCACTTGCACACATATCATTCCTACCACTCTTTTCTCTGCTCAGATTTCCATACTGGCTTCCTTGATGTTTCCAGGATGCCCACATGAATTCCTCCTCCTGAGCACATTTCCTCAAATATCTACAAGGTTTACTTCCTCACTTTTTTTCAGAGCTCTTTTCAAAGGTCAGCATTTCAGGAAGGCCTTCCTGACTAATATATCTAAATTAGTAGATTCCAATCATTCTCCTTTTTCTAGTTTTATTTCTTGCCTCTAGTACTTACAGTTGTATATGTTTGTGTTCATTGCAGTGAGACTTTCATTAGCATATAAACAGGCCTTTAGATTTTATCTGTTTTGTTTCTTATCACTGCAAGGGTACTTAAAACAATGTTTGGCATAGTTACTTGATAAATTAATTAATCTCTGATTATCTGTCTTCCCCACTGGTCTCATAAGGAGCATAGAAAAAGAAACTTTCTTTCTAGTTATTCTCATCATGTGCTGCATAGAGTAGGTGATAAATGAATTTGAAGGAATGGATGAATGAATTGTTGCTTGGGTATGGAGTTTTGGTTTTTTTTTTAAATCTCCCCCTCTCTGGTAGTACTGAAGATAGGTAAGTTAATTAGATATCTCCTAGGCAGTTAGGGCCTCAATTAAGGCACCAGCCCTCCAGGAGCCAACATGGAGAACAATTGAGGCACATTCACTGGTTAGGATTATAAAAAGAAGAGGCACTACTTCTCTACTTCCGCTAGAGATAGATAGCAGTGATTGATATTCTGAATGGGAAATTCCTTGTATGTGACTTGTCTTCCCATTTGACTCCCAATTTAAACAATATTACCTGGGATTACTTGTAATCTTATTGATTGGTTGTGGTTTTGTCCCACCACATGCCCACCTTGTAAATTTCCATTGCGTCTTACAGTTTTGTCCCACTTTGTACCCACCTCACCACATGGCTTTGCTGTATTAACCATCTTTGAAAAGTGGGATGAGCAGGCAACCCACTTTCTGGTGCCCCTTCTGTCTCTCTTAGGCAAAGCTTTCTTTCTCCCAATAAATTTTTCCTACTCTTAACCTCCGTTGTTCCTAGAATTCATTATTTGATTTTAGAGAACACGAACTCACATTCTGGATATCTAGTAGGTTTGGGAGGTACATCTCTTCCTTATATACCAGTAGAATCTAATTACCATGAAAATTAGAATGTTAACCCCTCAATGTTTAATTCCATAGTAGGGTCTGGCATATATTAGGTACTCAATAAGTAAGTGAAGAACAGTAAGGACTGAGACTGGAATGAACAAGAACTTTCTAGACAGACCCAGAGGTCTCCACAAAGTTGATCTTATGTCTTCATGGCAGAAAAAGACATGGCAGTTTAGGATACTCACAAAGCCATTAAAACCCTAAGGTATCCTGTTCATTTTGGGGACCCAGCCTGGACCTTGAGAAGACCTGCTTTCCAGAGAAGACCCAAAACCAAGGTGCAGACTTCTAAATATCTTCTGGTTTATAACTCCTGAATTTAAGGAGGGGTAAATATTAATTTCAACCTATAGCTTTGATTTGTTTGCTTAATACCTTGCCCTAAAGATTCCATATGAATCAGTTTATGGTGTCAAAGGGCATTGAGCATAAAGAATTAGATTTTAACATAAAACACCCACTAAGTGGTACAGTGACCTTGGAAACATCTCTTAGCATCATTTCTTTTTAAGTTCTCTATTTGTAAAATAAAGATACCAGGAAAGAACCAGCAGTTGTACAATTACGGATTGTGAGTTGCCAGGATGCCCTGGGAAGGCTCTGTCAAGCATTTTCTTTTCTTCCTCCCCTCTTTCCACCCGCTACAATCCTTGAGTACAAATCATAGCTTTGGTGAGCTACTGTTGCTGAAGAAATTACTTTAGCTGCACACAGGAAAGAAAGTTTGAGAACCATTGGCCATCTCTACCATTTTATCTTTTACAATGTTGTCATACTGTAACTCTATGAACAATACTTCAGTTCACTACTAAATCCCTATATTTAGTAGTACTTGAGTTCTTGGTGTTTTTAGTTTACTTATACTAACTTACATTAATTTTTGCTCTTGAGTCAGGGACAATGGCAGGCTTTGGGAATTCCAAGATGATTCAGAAATGGTCTCTTTCCTCAAAGAGCTCCACACATTGGGAAGACAATGCAACAGAGAGTGAGAAGGTCTGGTGGGATGGAAGCAGTGGACAAATTCAGAACACATCAAAGGATATCACCAAAGCAGCCCAGAGAGGAGGGATATGTAAAATCTCCCAGGAGGTGACCAAACACTGAGTCCTAACTTTGATTAATTCAATTATAGACTGCTAAAGCTACATCATGTCAAAATAATCCTACCTCCTGTTGTGGCACAGATGGAAAGTAAGGTCCAAAGAGGTGAACTGACATCCTATGTGAGTACCAGAGTTGCAACTAGGACCCACAGAAGCATCATCTGGCTACCTCTTTCGACAGACAACTTTTAAAGAAAATTCAGAATTCCTCGTTTTATCAATGTAGTGAAATTAATCAAGAAGTCATTAAGGCATTAATTAATCGATTAATTAATCAGTTAAGGCATTAATCCTAATAAGGAAGAGAAAAATATATTGACTGCATGTGCAGCAGTAATGTCAGTAACCCCTCATCCCTAGGTTACAGAGTATGTGAGCTGCAGGTGAATACATTCAGATCCACACACAGTGGAAACCTAACCCAGCTTTTTCCTGAGGCTCTACTCACATCAATCACACTGAGAAGGACAGACGCAGTTCCAATGCGAACAAGAACAAACTTCAAGAATAAATCTTGGCCTGTTGGGTTTGGATTTCCTCTTAGAAACTAAGGCATGCCAGGCTAAGATAAAATTCAAAAGTAAAACAATATTTATTAGTTGTTTTACTTGTGATGTTTAATGACCGTGATTTAGTAATAGGACAATATAAGAGCTCATCACATTAAAACAGAAATGCTTGGGACAGCCATAGTTTCTAATAGCTTGCCATCTGCATCTTACTAGCAATGGATTTACCCTGCTTAGTGCATTTGATGGTATTGGGGGTGAAATCATAGATTATACGATGATTTTCTGAGCTTTTCGACTACTCTCATTAATCCACTGGCTTGTAAATCAACATTTCCCAAAATAAAATCGATTATTTTTAATTTTTCACTCTTAATCCAACTAGGGTTGCTATGGGCACGCACAACATCTGGCCCCAACAGATTGAAGTCATGCAAGATCTCTTCCTATTTTCACAGCAGGATGCCCTTTTGCCTTGCCCCGTGGAATGTGCTCCAAAGAACAATTTTAGAGGGGTAAGGTCTCAATCAGGTTCCTCTGAGCACATCGTTTCCAAATGGCCGCCCGGGGTCCTAAGTCCGGCCGCTGCGGACTGTCACTAGCGGGTGCCCTCTCTCTGCAGAGCTGCGCGCCTTCTTAACTGGACGTCGGAAGCCAGAAAGGAAACTCTAACGCTTAGGGAGAGGTACAACCCCGCCTGGGTTGCACCTGGGAGGCCCTGATAGCCCCGGAGCACCCAGTCCTGGGCTTGAGGAGATGCCAGGGAGGCATCAAACTGTGTTCCCTTGTAAGTCAGAGGGCAGGACGCACGGGGTTGGGGTCAGAAGTTAAATTTTAACCCAACCCGCGCTTTGTTCCCGCGCCTTCCGCAGCCAGGGTGGCACCCAGCTGGAGCGGGAGAAACTGAGAGTTGCCACCACCCGGGAGCTACAAGCGGAGAAGCAAAGCGACCCCGCAGCTATTAGAAGCACAGCCCGGGAGAGAAGGGCTCGGCTTCCGCGATGCAGCGCTCCCGACCCGGGCGCGGCTGCCGGGGCTCCGCGCTGCCCTTTCGGCAGCCCAGCGCCGTGCGCCCCGCATCCCGGGAGCGTCCAGCCCGCTCCCAGGTGGCCTCCCGGGCACAGGCAGCCCGGCCGACCCTCGCCCTGGGCGCCGGGACAAACTTCCTCCCTCCTGGCCCCGGGCCGTGCAGGTTGGCAGGCGGCTCCCTCGCCAGCCTCCTCCGGTCTCCGGCCCGGGCGGCTTCCTCTCAGTCTCTCTCCAGCCCGAGCCCTGGGCGCGCAGCGCTCCCAGCGCCTCCGCTCCAACAAAGCCGGGGACCGGGAGGTGGCCGCGCCGGGGCTGGGAGTGGCGGCGGGGACGAGGCGGGCAGAGACGGGGAAGAAAGTGTCCTGCTCCGGACGCGAACGCCCGCTCGGCTCGTCCCCGCTCGCCCTGCGTCCCGGGAGGAGTTGGCGAGGCAGGGGCGCAGAGGGCACGCAGGGCCGGCGGGCGAGCCGCTCCCTTACCTCTGTCCAGGGTGAGCGGCTGGACCACGGTCAGTGTCGCCATGTCTGCCGTGGGAGCCGAAGTGACGCTCGGCTTCAGCATCAGCCGCGGCTCGGCTCGTAGTGAGAAAAAGAGGAGGAGATTGGGGGCGGGCGGGGGCGGAGAGGGAGGACGGCTAGGAGGGGAGGAGGGGGAGGCTGGAAGGCGGCGGTGGAGGAGAAGAAAGCTCGGGTGGGTTGGGAGCCAGATGGAGACGCAACTGTTCGCGGCGGCGGATCTTCAGACGCCACGCAGCCGAGCAGGTACCTGAGCGACTGCTGGCCGCTCTGGGGAGGAAGCCTGAGCCCTGGAACTTTGCTCTTCCACCCGGGAGCGCACCGGGAGGGTGTAGCTGGCACGTTGCTTTCTGTCAACTTCGCACTCAAATAAAATGGTCAGAATACACGTCTCAGGGGAAGAGGCGATGAAAGGGGATATGGGGGAGGGACACGGGGAGATAAGTGGGGTTTTTTCAGATGAAGAGAATTTTTCAATCCAACAATCCCATCTCCTTAAGTGTCAGACTTGTTGAGATTTGAAGGTAATTGCTGTTAATTTCTGTTAGAGAATTTTGGAATGTTGGCTTGTAACAGTAAAATAACGGACCAAAGGCTAGAGTTGCAACCGGAAGTGTCAATTTAGGACTGGGGTAAAGGATATAACTTTTTAAAAAAATGAAGATCAGTTTTTATCACTAAGTTTGAAAAATATTTCTTTGGCACCGTTTCAACTTGAGTTACAGCCAGGGATTATTCAGAGGAACCGCTATTGATTAGCATATGCCAGGAATAGAGCCAGGATTTCTGCTACCTTGTCTCAGGCCCTAACTTCGGGGTGCTCTAGTGAGGGATTATTCAGAGGCTGACTCAAGAATCAGTTGATCAGAATTTAATTATTGGAGCATTCGAATACCGCCCCCCCCCAACAGAAACACTGCTGTCACTCTCTTGAAACAGTAGGAACTCATTTCCTGATCAAGAAACTAAAAGAGACCTTCTATGAGCACAACGGTGATGGCTAGGGGTGCAGGACTGAAGACTGAGTCCATCCCCTCTCTGTGACACAGCGAATTGCTTTGGCCAGAAATAAATTCTTAAAAGCAGACACTGTTTTGCAGCAAAATATTTGCATATGATTGATGCTATTTTCTTCTGATTACAATATGGGTAATTTCTAAAGGTCTTTTCCATCTTGTCTACAGACGGGAAAAAAAGGTCACATTTCCCCCAATGACTGGGAAAGTCAAAGATGATTGGTCACAATACATTGACAGACTCTAAAGACACACCTAAAATTATAGCTTAATGTGACTTTCTTTTCATTAAGTGTTTTAAAATAACTGTGCTCTTGAAAGAGGAAGTCTTGGTTATGTGCTTGGCCAAAGTCACAGTTACTGATTCTCAGTTTTCTCGTTTGTCAAACAAGGAAAATAATAGCATTCAGTCTCATAGAGATTCAGTAATAGTAGAAAAATAACTGCAATCTCACTCAGTTTTGTCAGGTTCTGAAGGGATGATACGTGTGAATATGCTTTGAAAACAGTAAAGAATATACAAATTTATTCACTCAAGCAGGGAACCCACCTGAAGAATGTATCAAACACTATGCTAGGCACTGCTCAGGCAGGTCAGTGAGATGTGGCCTCCTTCTCTCTTGAAACTGCTCAATTCCAGCTGGCAGACAGTGAGCAAAGCAGGAAATTCTGAGTTATAACTGCCCAAATTAAGTGCACCTCTTACTAACGAAGCACTTTGGGAAGCCAGAAAGGGAATCAGTAACTCTGGTGGATAGCCATTATTCCCATTTCCTGAATTAGGTAACAGAACGAAGTTGAATTGCATGTAATGTTATCAAGAGTGTGTTTCAAGGTTTTGCAGAAAATGTCAAAGCTCATTCAATAGTTGAGGATGAAAAGAACATAGCACAGGGGATGAAAATCCCTTGACCACTAATGTAGCTTTTTCAACAACATATTTTATTAGAAATGTGTATGTGATTAGCTTCTTTCCTAAGTCTAAGCAGCCTAATTATACCTACTTGAATACGAACTCCAAAGTGTAAAGTTTATAAAGGCAGGGTTTGTGAATTTTTATTTCTTACTGGATCTCCAGCACTAAATATGTCATGGCATGTTTCTTGACTTATGTCTCAAGTTCGCTCTGTCATTATTCCTTTGTGTTGCTCTGTAGGACATTTGTTTTTAAGGATTGAGAAGGCAAATAAGAAGCACAAAGCATTATGTATGCATCATTTATTATTTCTAGTAGTGGCAAGCACAATGACTTTATGTCTCTACAAGTGTAAAAATGATTGATAAATCATTAGGTTAGAATTTGCATTCTGGAAGTAAGAATAACTGTTCTTTCTTCAATATTTGTGACTTCATTTTAAGATACTCAGAGATATAAGAAAATTTCCTAACTCTTCTCTTTTGCTTAGGTAGTTACACCTATGCTTAGGTCTCATAAATAATCAGTCAGTCCTGTACCAATGACAGTGTGTCATCAAGGTCAATATACTTGACCTAGTCACATGGTTGCTTTTTTGTGGATTAATCAGAGTTGTTAAAATATCTGTAATTATTTATTTATCTTAGTTATTCAGTTACACAATCACACTTTCTTTAAATGATATGCAGCAGTGTAGTTCAGTGGTAACTGTATTTTGATAGAACTAATTCAAGAAATACTTATTAAGTAATTTATATATGCCAGGCTGGATGCTAAGTTAGCATGCTCCCTTTTTAGCCCAGAAAAATGGGTATTCTTATCTCATTTTGGCGCTAAGTAAACTGAGACTCAGAGAAGTTTAAGGAATTTGGTTAAAGAACATTAGCACCTAGATACAAGAATTTCTATTTTCAACTAAGAAATACTACTTTCTACTTCATCTTAGTAAAAATTTAGTGATTTCAACCTTTCATTTGTGAGATCTAGGCATATATATATGTAATATACACACATAATATATAAGAAAAAACAATTAGTGATTAAATACTGTGCAAAGAATCTGTATATACATTGTTTTGTCTTGTTTTCTTTGTGCTTAAGATATATCCAAAGAGAGGAATGTATGAAGGAAATTTAGGTCAAAGGATTAAAGAATCATAATACTGGTTTCAATTTATATAAATACAGATTAATAGTAAAATAACTGCCTAATTTGAAATATAAAATCTGTTCTTTTTTAGAAGATTCATTCAAAGCTAGTTAAAGTCTGTTTGACTTAATTGAAAGTTTTAAAATTATACGACAAAATCAAGAGAAGGTTTGCCTAAAGAATTAGCATACCAAGAAAATCTACTTAGTTAGATTAGAAGTGGAGTATAATAATCACAGATTCAAATGAGAAAATAGTACCTTCAAACTGAAATCCTTTGAAGATGGGTATTAGAAAATATTTTTTGATTGATTCAACACATCAAGTTATGTTTTTAAATCTACACAGCTTTGTCAAACTAGCATTAGATTAAGATGAATAAGATTCTCTTTAGAATATGAATAATTATGTTTTTTGAAGTTATCTAAAATAGAACATCTTATTATGTTTATTTTATCCTTAAATTTTTTCTGGTAAGTACTTATTTGTCGTTTGTTGATACAGCAGATTCTTAGTATATTTATGGAGTCTGATAAAAAAATTCCATGATTGTTTAATTTTTTTCAGATTTATTATGGTGGACATTTTGGAGATGAGAAGCAGATCTAGGGATAGAAGGAGAGGGAAGAGAGGGAAAGGAAAAGGAAAGTAAAAAGGATTAATATTCTATATGTATACGTACTAACTCCCAACAATGATTGCATTTGTTTTGTATCACAAATGCACTAATAAAAAATAAATAAATAGAAAAAATAAAAAAACTATTACAGTTAAACACACATTGCCATTAACTCCCCCCATCATATCCCCCCTCACTTCAAACACACTTGTCTCATCATTTTTGTCACTTTCTGAAGTGTCACTATTTCTGAAACAGTTCTGAAAGTCCTCTTTTGTGAGTAGCTTTAGTTGCACTGTTGCGGCTGCCTTGATATCCTGAATCAATTCAAAATATTTACCCTTCATGCCCATTTTGACTTTGGGAAAGAGTCAGAAGTCACACAATGCCAGATGTGGTGAATAAGATGAATGAACACTCATCAAGTGTTTTTAGGAGCTTGCCTGTCTGTTGGATGGTAGTTGGTGACAGCACTCACCATATTTTTGATTATACATCCTAAAGATACTTATGAATGAGGACTTCCAGAAGTTGTAATTATCAGAGATAATGGAAGGAAGACAGAATATAAATAACCAATAACTCAGATGATCTTGGGTAGATGTGAGGACAGTGGTGAAGTTGGTGTGTCAGAGCCTCTGCATGGTGTTTGAGACCTGATTATGCACAGTTTGTCTTCATATAATTTTCAGAGACATCACATTGGTATCTTTAGATTGGCCTTGTTCAGAGATTTATACCTTGGAGATTAGCAAACGCTACATACAAAAGTTTTCTTGGGCTAGGAATTTAGCTCAGTGGCACTGTGCATGCCTTGCAAGCACAAGGGCTTGAGTTTGATCCCTGGTAACAACAACAAAAAAAAGGAGTTCTCTTTTATCTTCTGGAAAGACAATTGTTAAACTTTTGCCAGTACAGTATAAAGTCCCTGAAGAAAATAAAAACAAGTTATGATGAAATATGCAGTGTGGGAGGATATTGTATCATGGTCCAAAAAAGAGCCACATTTTATTTGACAGAAATTTTAAAAAATAACAATATTCCAGGGTACTTGATGTCTACCGTACTGCATAGGACAATGGGCCTGGGATGGAGTTAAAATAGGAGACATTCATGTTATTTTTATGGAGTTACTAAATAATTGAACAGGTAGTAGAAGCAAAGAATGAATTACAAAATGATGTAACAATAGGAATAAATATAAATTCGTATGTGTTAAGGATATACACAAATAAAAGAAGATTTGGATTCTGAAGGATTGTTAGAGGCAACATATTTATTTCAGAAGCAACTAGGAGTTATCTTTATCGCATGTAAATAATAAGAGTTTTACCTTTGAGCAGAAAAGGCCACTTTTTATGATTTTGAATCAGAAGATTGCTAACTAATCAGGCCAGGATCTTTTAAGGGATTTCCAGGAAAAATAAAGAAGAAAAGAAATAATTACAATGAAGTGGCTGTGTTGCTGGAAAATCTTGCCATGATGAAGATCAGGTAACTGTCACTTTGATCCTTAGGGCACTGAGGGTGGTTAGGGCTTGTTTGTTGGGACTTCGACTTCATTTAAAATTTAACTACCTAGATGGTTTTCTATTGAAAGGCACCTCAATTTCTGACTGTTATTTCTTTAAATACAGCTTAATTATTCCACCCAGCAGTATAACTTTTCTCTAATTTTGGTACTGTGGAATAATTAGGGGTATTTGGGAGAAACAGGGAAAGAGGCCATCTTCAAATTCTTTCCACATTCTTACATACAGTAATTGAGGCTAGGAACAGAATTTACCCTCGGCTTGCTGAGAAACATGTATGTCAGTAATCAGCAAGTTTAAGAGCTAAATGCACCATTAGCATGGGCAGCACATTCAGAAGTGAGTTCCATACTCCCATTAGTTTTTATTCTTCAATGTTCTAATTTAAAGAGAAAAATGTTACAATGT